TATATATATATATATATATCTTCTTAAATAGATGAGGTTTCATTAAGAAAGAGAAAAATATTGTATATTTTTAGAAAGACTTCTAATGAGGTTTTTAATTTCTCGTATTTCGATGGAACAACCTGTTGGTTGGAAGGAGAACATTTTCCTCGACGTCAAATAAGCGATACTCATCCCACCATTTTATTTCGGCGTAAAATAGAACGATATTACTTCATTATAAATAATTTAAACGAATTAACTTCCTTTTTCGATTGTAACCTATTACGAAGTAACACGATTCTTTCGAGCATTACCGCGTCGAAAAATTTTATTATTTTAAAATCGTTAAAACTTTTCAGTATTAAAATTTTCCTCGTGTCCACAGCCAATTTTTATGATCAGCTTGTTTAATATAATACATAAATAGTTCTTACCACCTATTTCAAACAATTTATTATGTGCAAAATATTATGCAAATTTAGATATCCAGCGTGATTTCTTACAGCTGGTGCCTCAATCTATTTTGGCTGACTCGGCGTATAACTAATTAATATGATCATTCTAATGTACAACACACAAGCATTACAGTCGAACAAACTGTAGGTTTACCGTTTTTAAAATACGATATGTAACATGAAAAATATTTTAATAGATTGACTGTACCGATTTGATTATCAAATTTTGATTTCTATGGATTTATGCTTATGCATATTTCATTAGATTTTTCTTTGCAACGTTCACGCGATGCACGCACACACACACACGCACACACACACACACACACACACACACACACACACACACACACACACACACACACACACACATTTGTAACGTTGTGCACTTCTCATATTTTTCGTTCGTATCCAAGAGAGATTAAACATAGATAATGAGTTTGCTTCTTCGAAAGAATAGAATTTTTTTTAGGAATATAAAAGTTTTTTGTATTAATATTATTAAAGAGAGAAAATCTGTATCATGTTTCCACGTTAAAAGCGAGAAATTGTTAAGCTATATGGATTTCGTTCTGAAAGCATTAAAGAGCGTGTACATGCAGCGCACGAGGCTAGAATTTACGTTAGATGTATCTATATAGAGTGAGATTACATAGAATTTTCGTTATCGGTAAATAATATAAGAGCTCTACCATGTTATTCATAAATAGTTATATTCGGAACATACAAATTGTAACGTTTTGTATATTGAATACGTATTATGTTATACAATATAAATGTACCTAACTGGGAAAATAACCCGAAATGAAATTTTCCAGTAGGTTATATATTAATAGTTATATAATAATATAACGCTG